AAATTTAGTTAAAAAGTTTATTTTGTATTTTGTAAAATATTGTATTTATGTACATAAATTTTACTACTGGTATAATCGTAATGAACTTGGCAATTTTAAGTTATAAAATTAATATTTAGTTAACTTACTTTATATTTTTAAAGTCGGGAAACAGATACATGTGTTTGAAACTATCGATTGCAATGATTGGTAAGTCCTCTTTGGTTCGGTTCATGTGATGCAACGGGTGTTCAAATTGTTTTGCGTCTGCGGTCACAAAGTTTACATTTACTGTCTCTGGGATTAACTCTCTGTGAATGACTTCTTTAAACAGTTTTTCACTTTCCTCGTCTTCCGGCAGATGAAAGAGTATAACTAATGGCAGATCTTCTTCAATGATCTCCTCTGCGTTTTCGAAAGTAATTTCCCTGACTATAGGAATACAGAGGATTGTGCTCCAGGTGTTCAACTCATCGTACGTCTGGTATATAAAGTCATATTCGGATTGTTTGGTACTTTTGGATGATTTAAATGCAAGTAATTCTTCTTTGAATTGCGGAACAAACGGAGAGTTTGTAATCCAATAGAATTCACAAAAGCTTCTCAAATCTGCGGCCACTCTCCGGAAGATAGTATACTTTGTGTATATCATCTCCGGTGAGTCCTTGAAATACCCGATTACTGCCGATTTGTTGTACATAATGGCAGACAAATTTGTGTCATCTTTATAATCAATACGAATAACGGGATCAGTTAATAACTTTCTGACATGACTGACAATGGCCTCTTCAGTTCTCTGTCCTCTGTATTCCTTTTTCATAGGCTTTCCATTGAGAAAGAACTTAAGAGTCGGATATTTGGATATTTTATAGCGCGCCGAAAGAGTTGCTGTAAATGATCAAAAGTTTTATAATAAAAATAGCAAATGGCATAATTTGTTGCTAGAACATACGGTTCTCGTCACAGTTAACCCGTCCGAATACCACTCGATTTGTTCCCTAAATTCATAATTTTATACTCAAGTAATTTCTATAATATAACTTAATATAAAGAAATTTAAATTACTTCAAAATCTTGTGTAACTTTGTTGGCAGCTTCTTTATAAATAGGAGTCAATATCTCACTGAATTGACACCACTCGGCGTGAAAGTTGACAAAAACTAATTCGTGTTTTGCTGACAATTATGAAAATTATTTTTTAAATTAAGATAATTAGAAATGTTATTAAATTGTATTTACAGATGTAGTCATCAAAGTTATCATTTGTCAAATCGACGACTTGACACTCAATTAATCCAATTATAGTAATTGTCTGTAAACACAGAAATTAAAACATTTTAATTTAATTTATCAGTATCGTATAGTAAAGCTTACAAATATTAGAAGAATATTAAGATATTTAATAATTTTCGACAAATAAAAGTAATTCATAATTAAAAAATAGAATTAAATAAATAATAAACAAAAATCTAAAATGAATTTAATATGATACTAGTTAACGTAGTCTAACACATGCTTTCAATTTTAATTATACTCATTTGAATTAAAACTAATTAAATGTACACTTATAAGGTATAACGTTACCGGTAATAATATTCTAGAAATACCAGTACAGTATCATAGTAAAGAATATGCATAAGTTATGCAGCATAACCATAAATAATACTCTAATCCAAGTTTTGTATCTCACGTTAATTTTTTATAAAAATATAAAATACTGTATTACTGAAATATGCAACAAATAAATTTAACTAACTTATAAGTAAAGAAAATTATATTCTTTAAAAATTGAAGCTAGTACAATTAAATATACTGTACATTTCAGTACTACATTTTACAGTATTAATGAAATAAAGTTATTGACTCTACGTCAAGTGAACTGAGGAATTTCATAATCATTAATCAATATTCTTATACAAATGACTTAATTTCTATATAATTCATATTTGTATGAATAATTTGATGAATACTGTATTTTTCATTTAAAAATAATACAGTATATTGCTGTAAATATTTTCAATTTATATTTTACAGTTTTATGAACTTTTCAGTTAATTAATTAGAGTTATTCAGGAAATAATTAAATTTATAAAAAACTTTCCTTAAAATCAATCAAATGACACAATTTTAAAACAATTTATTTATTGACTCTCTTTCTTATATAAATTAATTTCCGAGACATTTATTCTGTGATACGATTGCATGAGATTTGAATAAAAATATAAAACAAATCAAAAGTGAATGAAAAATACATATAAAGTACTGTATATTGATATATGAATTAATTGGAAAACATTTAATATTAAAACTTCTAAA